CTGGAGCCCGCCCAGTCCCCAGCCCAGCAGGATGCTCACCTCCACCACGTATGCACTGGGTGTCACAGGGAATGCTGCACCACTGATGTAGAAGACAACGTCGGGCAGGGTGTCCACAGCGTCGCAGTCGATCTGGGGGGGACACAGTGGTAAGTGGGGGTCAGTGGTCACCCCAAGAAGGACCACGCACCCCAGGGAGCAATGGGGACCATGGACACCCCGTGGAAGCCCCAAAGTTCTTTGTGCTGCCCTGGGTCTCACCTCGCCGTTGGAGTAGGCACCAAGGGCATTGAAGAGATTGGTGAGGTCGTTGTTGGGCATGGTGAGCAGCGAGGTGCCCGTGTCCACGATGGCCTGGCAGCTGGAGGCGCAGGCGACAGCCTCACCATTCATAGCCACACTGGGGACAAAGGGACACAGGGTGAGGCTCCTGGGTGCTGCACCCCCAAACCCACCACCTGCAAGGTGAGGGGAGCCCCCCGGAGCTGCACCAGGGCTACCTGTCCATGGTGATCTGCCAGTAGGTCTCAGCAGAGAGGGGGATCCAGGTGATGCCGTTGGTGACGTAATAGGGGTCGATGGCACCAAAGAGGACAAAGCTGCCGCTACTCTCATCCCTGTAAGGGGGAAACCAACACATGAGAGTCCCATCCCACCACCACCATCATGGCAATGCCATCACCACCACAGCAATGCCATCTCCATCATGGCAATGCCATCACCACCACAGCAATGCCATCACCACCACAGCAATGCCATCACCACCACAGCAATGCCATCACCACCACGGCAATGCCATCTCTACCACAGCAATGCCATCACCACCACGGCAATGCCATCTCCATCACGGCAATGCCATCTCCATCACGGCAATGCCATCACCACCACGGCAATGCCATCTCTACCACGGCAATGCCATCTCCACCATGGCAATGCAACCACCAGCATGTCCCCAGGAGCCATGGGGTGTGACAGCACCAGGGAATGGTGTTGGAGCCAGCCCCGGTAGGAAGGAAATGGAAGAAGATCCTCACCAAGAGCTGTGTGTTTCTGGCCAGGACTTACTTGCTCAGGTAGACAGAGAAGAGGTCTCTGGCCACAAGACCTTCACTCATCATGTTGTCAAAGACAGGGGTGGCTCCATCAGAGGCGATGCTGGGGTAGGCCAGCCCCAGGATGCCATCGAAGGGGCTGTAGTAGAAGGTGTCACCAGGTTCACTCTCTGCCAGCCCGAAGACCTGGTTGTTGACGTCGATGTCTGCAACCTGGACAGAGAGATGGGGAGAAGGGCTTGGTTTGGGTGTCCCTCAGTGCCATGGGAGGGGGGAGCTGGTGCACGGTGCCTCACCCTGACGGTGTCGTAGCCCAGGATACCAGACATGCTGCCGGTGCCGTAGGCGATGTAGATGCTGTCGTTGGTGCTGATGAAGGTGGAGGATTTTGCTGGGTTGAAAAGTTTGTGGTTGCCTGTGGGGAGGGAAGGGAGATGGTCACGGTCCCTCCTGACCTCAGGAGCTGAGGATGCGTCTCCAGTGCCTCCCCATTGCCCTAAATCCCTTGGGAAAGACAGGGCAGAGCCATCCGCATCTCCCAACCCTTCCAAGGGCTCCCAGGGGTTCCTGGGGGCTTCCCCCCTCGCCCAGTGGCCACGGGGCCAGCAGACACCTACTGCAGGCGATGCTGGCGCAGTACACGGAGGGCACCCACAGGTTGGAGGAGCCGGTGTCAAAGATGACGGTGAACTCCTGGGGTGGGGTGCCGATGGAGATGGTGCCATAGTAGGAGTTCTGCCAAAGGAGGGTGGGCAGGGGGTTAGTGGGGTGCAGAAAGGGCTAACGGGATGGATAAGGGGCTGGTGGGGTGGATAATCACAGAATCAGAGCCACAGAATGGGTTGGGTTGGAAAGGACCTTAAGACCATCCAGTTCCAACCCCCTGCCACGGTCAGGGACACCTCACACTAGACCATGGGCTAATGGGATGGGTAAGGGATTAGTGGGATGGGTAATGGGCTAATGGGATGGATAATGGGACAATGGGATGGGTAAGGGGCTAATGGGATGGGTAAGGGGCTAATGGGATGGGTGAGGGGCTA